GAACTGTAATGTATCAAATCACCAGGAAAACTTGCAGAGAACCAAAAGCAAAGAGAGAGGAAATCAAAACGCATTGCTTATCAAGACCAGTAAAGGCGGTAATATTTCAAGGATACCCCTTTTGATCAGTAACAGTCCAGCATATCAGAAGATAGATTCAGTTCCATGCTTAGACACCCAGGCTGTTTTACTACATTGGAAACAAATTAGAGTGCCACTGAATGAAGGAAAGAGGCAGGTAAGTTTACGAAGAAGAAAAGCAGAGTGGCAGGGTAGGAACACTATGGAAAATCCATTCAAATTCTTTCTGAATGCCCTTCAGCTCAAACAGCTCCTCGAGACAGTGAACTCCCTGGACCCTGAGCTCCAATGGAGACTGGAGCTGCAACAATCTCTCAGCCAGCTGGCCTCGGCTCCTACAGGAAATCAGGATGCACTATGGAACAAACTGTGCACACAAAGACTGTTTACGCTTATTTGTTTAGTTGGCTTGAGACAAGCTCACTGTAGTCCAGGTGGCCTTGAACCCCTGCAGTTGCTTCACACCGTCACCTCCCAAATGCTGGGCCCACAGGGACAGATCGCCATACCCCACTTCAAACACGGCTTGTAGATCTTCTAAATAAAAGCATGGACAAAATGGAAAATTTCCCACGCCGTAGTAAAAAAAAAATAACCAGGAAGCAACAAGGAAAGGTTGTGTGACCCTGAAACCAGCCATCTACAAGTACCCCAACAAAAGCCCAAAGGAAGAGGAGGCTTAAGCTATGTTTATTCAAACTACTCCCTTGTTCCCCTGCAGCTTTCAAAATCAGAATCTGGTGGGTTCTCTTGTACTCTTTTTCAATGTAAGATTACACACACTTAAAGCTTTTCCTAACAGAATTTTGACAAAAAGAAGGAATAATATTTGCTTAGTGACACCAGTGCTCCAGGGACTGGGTCAGCTGTCTTCCCCTTAGAGGTTCTTTTGATACTCCAAAAAATGTGAACTCCAAAGTGGGCCAAAAATCTAAATGTTTGTTTGCACACGGACATTAAGCCACAGTAGAAAATCCCACATCTAATGGTAAGTGGTAGGCCAAAGCCAAAATGCAGACACATTGAAAACACTGTATAAAGTTGCTTTCATGGTATGTGTATGTGTTTATAGGAAACATAACTAAATTTTGTGTATAGACTTGAGTCCCTTCCCTGAGATATCTCATTGCATATATAAAGATATTCCAAAAGCCTGAAACACAAAATACATCTTGTCCCCAGTACACTAATAGAGGAGATATAATCTGGATTTCAATCGTTTTTTATAAGAACTTTGTAAAGGAAGCACTGTTTGACCTACTTCTCAGGCTATGGACTAAAACACGAGATATCTACCTAGCCCTGTCGTAGTAGAAACCTGCACAGGGGTTTCAAAAGCTTACAGCCCTGACTATCAGGTTGTTATAAGCTAGGTGCGGAATCTGTAGCAATAAGACGTGATTAGCATGAGACATGCTGTTAAATCATGTAACAGGCAGACTGCGAGCAGTGATACAGGATAAGTAAAGAAGGTGCAGAGGTCTTAGCATGGTCCAAGCATGAAGGAGCCAGGGAAAACTTGACCATGGCCTCATAGAATTGAGGGGGAAAGTGGAGAGAAATTTTAGGTGAGGTGGCCATCAGAGCAAATGCTCTTTCCTGTCACACCACAGGAAAGCAAGGAAGGAAACGTCCAATGATGCACAAGGAGAAGGGAAAAGTCACTTGGAGGCCAAGGAACCCTTGAAGTCAGGAACAACCACGCCAAAGCTTTGCAGTGGAGAAAGTCAGCTGGATAAGTCACAGTCTGGAGGTGAAGAAGACACTCGTGAACTTGGGGCTCAAATAAGTAACTCAAGCAGAAATGTACAGTGAGTTGAAAGTGTGGAGCACTGCTGTAAGCGAGTCCCCAGTGGAGGACACAGACTTAAACGGAGACGGGCAACAGTGACAATATGACACAGAAAACAAGGGCCAGGCGGTAGCAGCTGAGAACATGAACGTGTGAGGAGGCGAGCCCCTAGCATTATTAATTCAGCGCAGGACTAGGAAATCAAAGAACTATTTCATTGCTATATATCAGAACACTCAAACTGGTATTTGATTGGTTTGGTTCAGAAAATAGGGAGAATTAAGACTATCTGTGGCTCAAGTGTAACAGAGTGGTCCTTTCAGCCACACAGGCCACTTCATCTCCTAAACATGATGGGTCTCCACACTGATAGTGTCTTTTTCAGTAGATCAATGGAGGAAACCTGCAGCAACCTGGAACAGTTACAAGCTCCCTGCATTTCTACCCACACTCCACAATTCAGAGGTTTTACCTAGAGCTTGATGGCCTATTTCCTAAAATACTCCTGGAGATGCATCTACTCACAGTCCACCTCACTTGACCATGACCTCCATGCCCAGGGTCAGGTCCTCCTTGCTGGTCTGAAGTTGCCCAACCTCACTGCCTTCCCAGCTGAAGTGCTATGGTCCACACCCCCGCCCTCCTGACCATGTGGTCTACACCACCCGGCGTCAGTAGCTCTGAGTTGGGGAGGCTGACTTTTACCACCAGAATTCTTCACATCACACCATTTACCTTTCCATTTTCATTTCCCCTAACCCCCCTATGTTCTACGTCCCAAACCTCCTTTGTTTTCCTCGCCAGTGTATAAAGTCTTTGTCCTATTTGCTTCTAAGCTCCATGCATATTTAGTATGGAACAAACAGTCTTGGCATCTTTTCCCATTTTTCAGACAACTGGAGCCGATCCAGACTTCAGAAGAAACGAATCATTTATTTAATCAGAAGAAACTGTGGCTGCCCCCACCCCTACCCCCATGCATGAGCCCAAGTCAATGTGCAATTAGTGCTAAGCTTGCACTTCTAAAATGCTTTCCCCCTGTTCCGAGGTATGGCTTTAGCTACCCTTCCCGCAAAGTTCCCCATACTTTTCTGTAGTCTCTAAGCTTAAAGGACTGCCTAGGTCCTAAAGTAAGTCGCTTTACCATAAAGTTCACATCAGCTTCCAAGTCACCAACCAGTTACACTTTATTAGAAACTAAGTTCGGAGCACAAGTGTCCCTTTACGTTTTTCTCTATACTGTAAGACACACAGGGTCAGCAGGGAAGATGCTGTATTCACTCAGTTCTTTGTGCGAAGTAGAAGGGAGCTGATAGTGGGTTTTGAGGCAGCATCCCTATCAGTGTTGTGACTTGCTTCCATAGACACAGCTGCCTAAACAATCACCGGCATTCAACACCCAACCTGGGATCTTGCGAGAGTCTTCATTTATCAATGCCAAGACATGGTGAGGAGGTCTAAGTTACTGCTACTAACGGTAACGGCAAAGAGAACAGTGGCTACACACATTAAGAAAACCTGCACCCATCAAAGACATCAACAACAAAAATGGAATAAGTGGTCTAGGAAAAATGATAATGCATTGTTCTATCATTTTTAGAAAATGATTTGGTTCAATAAAAAAAAAGAAAGAAACCACTGGCCCTATTGTTGAAGTATACTTCCGGTTTATAAAGCACAGCATAGGGATCTATTACTTTATGGTTCCTGTGCTGTCTCCTTGACATCAACTCTTACATAACTTAAAACCAGCTGAGGAACAGTTTCCTTCTGCGGTCCTCTCCTTTGATACCTCAAGACAGAATCTGCTTCGTCCCCTTGTTCCAACAGCATATTTTTAGCTTCTTAGACTCTCCGGCGCTCTATCCACCTGCAATTATGCTGCAGAAGCATCAGAAGACGCCAAGGAAAGGCCAGCAGCAGACAAGAGAGCAAGAGGCCTGTTCGTGGTCTTGACGGCTGCAGCAGGGCAGCGTATGCCTGGCAGAGTGCCCTGTCTCCAGCCAGGCCCGACAAACTCCCAAGAGCTGGACTTCCTTTCTGACCTCAGTGTGGGACATGACTGCACTCTCCCCGAGTCCAGGAGGACAGGGCAGGAAGGGTGATAAGGAAAAGGCCTTTTACATGACCCTTGAGAGCCTGGAGGAACACCACCTATCACTCCGCCCTACTTCTCAAACAAAGCAAACCAAGGCCAAATGGTAGCTGTAGCTTCAGTTTGGAAACACAGCTCATTAGTTCTGAGAATGAGTAATGAATCCGGGCTTTCCCCAGGACTGGAGAAATGAGATGCTGTCAAGCAAGACATTTTGAAGGAATAGGCAACATTCTCTAGCAGAAGGCTCCACGTGGTTATGTAAAATTTCTTTTTGTGAAAAACCATTACTGTCCTAGGATACATACAAAGTGCTGTTATGGGTAGGCATTCACTGCTCAATACGATCTGATGTTTTCACTCCTTCCACAGTGATCCTTGCTCTCGAAGGTACTTCTGGCTCCTTAGTTTAAATTAGTACTTTGTTACTTAGCTGTGATAATGTAATTGCAATGGAATAAGACATTTGTATTCTATTCATCAACAGTAGCAGAAAATGCAAATTTACTTTGGAACCTGATGCACATGCATTCTTCTCGTAAGAAGCAGGAGGTGGAGGTGTTCTTTTTTCCAAAGGGAAACTGGTGAAGGATCTGCACCACAGAGCTTCAGGTGCTTATGAAAATAGAGGGACACTATCCCAGCAGGAACTCAGAGGTGACACACACTCAAGGTGAGGCTAGCTTGTTAATTACCTTCTGACAAATAATGTCAGCTGGTTTTTCTTACGGGATTGATGGGTCCTTCATAGGCTTCTATGAAAGAGGAGTACTCTTAAAAAGGATCTACCCATCAGTTTTTCTTAAATTCATATTTTACTTCTCACATGCTAAGTCAAATTGTATCAAGAAAATGCTCTAACTTCATCTGCATGTAGGCATTCCAGAAGCACACGTGAATACTAAGAAAATGCCCAAGAGTTGAGCACTTAGTGGGTCTTATGTATTTATCTTATGCCCGTCTCCTGTAACACAACTTATATCCTCTATGGCTATGATCAAGGAAGTCTTCAGCAGCTAAGGCTATACTCACGGTTGACAGAGCTTCACCAGGTCTTGATCAGTGGTGTTGGGGGGCAGGCCTCGGATGTAGAGGTTTGTCTTGCTCAGCTGATCCCATCCTGAGTTGCTACTGCTGCTACTGTTGTTATTACTGCTGGTGGTGCTGGGACTGGGAGGGGCCATGGGGTGCGCTGGGACCAGAGACTGCTGGAAGCAAACACCAGGGAGTGTGTCAGAGCAGAGGTAAGGGGTCAAGCGGCACTAGAGGCTGTGTGAGCCGCAAAAACAAACCGACAAATAAAATAAAAAAGACACCGAGATTAAACCAAGACTAGCCTGAGCTACTGTGACGTAAAATTGAACTTGTAGGCAAAAAAAGACCTATTCATTTTAAGACAGAAACAAAAACCAAAAAACCCTTCTTTCAACATGAAATGAAAGAATTTTACTCAGCAATACCTCTACTGTGGATAAATTTATGGATAATCAATTTATTCACATATTTTAAAGAACACATCTCCTGAGACTCAAAATTAACTTGCATGAAGTCACATGATACTCTATCTTAATATATAGTAATTTAGAAATCACTAGGCTTTTGGAAAAGCTTCCAGATTCTGAAGACTATGTGAAAGTAGCTGATTATTTTATTTGGAATGCTCTTTAAAAAGAGACCACTCTTAATATGTAAGAAAGTTAGAGCTTCACCCAGAGCCTCAAACTTCCAAGCTAGATCTATGGCTTCATGGACACATCTGGATGAGATTCACCACCAGCTGCCTGTCACTCTGGCTGACCCTGTGAACTTTAACCTCTGTGAGAATGCTGTAGCTGTTGGAAACCTTCCCAGGAGCACATCGGGCAAAGCCTGCAGCCGGGGGCTTCTCAGGTGTGGTTCTCCAGTCAGCAGCCACTTAGGAAGGGTGTGTGAAGTACACACACCAGATACTGCTGCTCGGTGAGCTTGTGGAAGGAAACTCCAGCTCTCGGCCCCTCTGCCCCATGCAGTCTGAGGACAGTGCATGGGACCCAAACTGTGCTCACAGCCAGTGTGCAGCAGGGCAGGACTATTCTCCTTTCTTTCTTCTAAGTGATTTAAGCATAGTAAGCCAAGAGTAGCATTGACACAAAGAGTTTGAACACACAAACTTAAATACTTGCTAGACACTCAACAAAGATTTCAAATATTGATGCCAGGCATTTGCTACTACAAAGATTAAGTAAGGCATATAGAAGAAAACCTAAACTCCACAGCAGAAAATGCTAATGGTCGACATACACAATAAACATACTCTCATTTATCTTGCCAGCAATTTCGGGTGTCCACTGTAGACTCCACGTTCTGCACCTAGTTTCTGCTACGGCACGCTAATTCCACATCTTACGCTGAGAACTCAGTGACTCTTTCTTCTAGTCCTTTACCTTCCTTGCTCTGTTCAGGGTCCATGCTAAGCTGTTGTGCAAACACTACTTCATCTAAAGAGACTCTTTAAGAAGGGGAGTTCCTGGAAGAATGAACAAATAGTGAGGAAATTCTACTTCCTAAGAGCTGAACTTGAAACTAGGACTATTGCTTAATCCAAATCCCCAACTGCCCTGCCTGAGATCACATCCTTCCCACCTATGTGATTCAAGCTTTTCACGGGCAAGTGAACTCACAGGCTGGCCGCACACCGCTGGCTTTCCTCTAAGGACTAAAGGCACTGGTTTCTAGGTATTAAAAAAAAAAAAACCCCACAAACTACTCAGCCCTGTCCCCTGCTCTGCCACAGGTGTGACACGAAGCTTTCTCAGTATCTCCATTTTCCTACCCTCTCTTCTTCTCAGAGCTGGATTGGGGTATGAAGCTGCAGTCACTAGCCCCCATCTCCCAAGCCTCTGACTGAAAAGAGAGCTTGTAACCACTCATAGAAGTAGGTAAGCCTCAATTTTCTCTTAAATGGCATGTGATCAGTGCCCAAGATACCATCTTAGAGCATAAGGTGATTGGTATTAACCGCAGGGCAGAGGATGTTGGCTACTGAACGACACCAGGGATGTGTTGTGGGATATTTGTATACTCTGTGGAGGTGTATTGCTGTTTGGCGTAATAAAAAGCTAAATGGCCAATAGCTTGGCAGGAAGAAAAGGCAGGACTTCTGGGCCAAGACAGGAACTAGGGATGAATCTAGGCACACAGAGGAGCCATCAGGAGACACCGAGGAAGCAGGATGGGTGGTATGTGTCAGAATGTAGATTAAAAGAAATGGGTTAAAAGTTATCAGAGCTAGTTGAAAACAAGCCTAAGCTAAGGCCAAGCTTTCATAATTACTAAGTCTCCATGTCATTATTTATGAGCTGGCAGCCCAAAGAAGAATCCATCTACAGGGATGAAGGGCAGGCTGTAGTTCAGAGGTAGAGCACTTGCCTAACTTACAGAGCCCTGGGTAAAATAATTATGTGTCACGCTGGGGATGGCACCTGGAGAAGCAGAAAAGAGCTGTGGCCCGGCCTCTCCCAGCTTCTCTGTGAGAACACAGCAGGGGCAGGCACATGTACCAGCAGTAGACGTTCTAAAGACTGCATTCCAAGACCGGGTCCATCCAGCCCTGATCTTGTCTGGTTCTGACGGGGCATGCTGGGTGTGGACTTGTTCTGATCAGAAGAAACATCTGGGTTTTCATGAATTAGGGGACTCTTTGAAACTCAGAGTAGGTTTTCCTTATGTATTTACTGTTGATAGAAGGAAGAGACCCATGATCTGTACTTCTGAATTTATAATTGGTTTACTGTATGATGTCTGACAGCTGTCCATATTTACTGTACTAATACTTTCCCAGTGAGGGAAGTGGGTGAGGAACCCAGGTCTTCCTGTTGGGCTGTCTATTAGGGTACGGGACCTCCCAGAGTTCAGATTCCAGGAAGGACAAGAGGGTCCCACATTCACACGAGGAAAACCATGAGGCTGATAACTCCACTATAGCACAAAGTTCAAGTTAAATTTTACCGAAATATCAACACTTTCCCAAGCTAGTTGAACACAGACACAGAACGAAAGGATTTTCGTTGTTTAAAAAAAAAAAGTATAGAAACCTTTAGATTAAAGATGAACTGTTTAGAACTCACTCAATCTGGTCTGGGTGTATTGGAATACAGCTTAGTAGGCATGAGCAAGGATCTGTGTTCAATCCCTGGTCCCATCCAAAAAACAAACAAACAAAACTCACGGAATCTAAAAATGTAACCTCCAATGAGAACAGTATACATGTTTAAAGCCAAAAATCCAAGTACAACAGACCTTACCCCTGACTGTTCAGAAAGGACTGACAATGGTCTGAGCAGTCTGAGTGCCATGCATAAAGAAGTGTCCATCTGCTAAGTGCTGCACGCTGTGTCCTGCTTTCTATGAACTCGATAAACAGACAGGTACAGCGCTGTTCTCTCATGGCACAGACTAGGGAACTGTGTCTTAGGAGCACTTAAGTACTGCGCAGTGACATCCAGGAAGTAGGTGGCAGGACTGCATTTTGAACTGAGATCTGTCAGATAACCAAGTCAGAGCCTTCAAACGCTATAAGCAGCTTCCAAACACGTTCCATCTCTTCAATGCACCAGACTGCTTTGAGTTCCTGCGCCCATCCTCCTAATTCTCAAATTCTTGCTATTTTGCAGTGTGACTCCACTATGCCAGAGTAAAAGGTGCCTGCGGGTTACTCTAATTAGCACCCAGTGAACTGGTGTAGGTAAAAACCCCATTAGCTTGAAAAGGAGGATTAAATAAATCCTGCTTTATAAACTGTTCCCTTAAAGAATGGATTCTGAGGGGGAGAGCAAACTCTCAGAGACAGCTTGGCATGCACATGACCTTAGGTTCAACTCCACACTGTGCAAGAAATGATGAACAGGAGTGAATCTTTGTTTTTTTGTGAAACAGGGTCTCACTATGTAGGCCCAGGCTACCTCAAACTCATGACCACTGTGCCTCGTGGGAATTGGGATTGGAAGTGTGTACCACTACACCCAGCAGAAAGAAGGAATTTTGACAGGCACAATGGAAAGCATTATGAGGTTCTTTTAAAAATTAAAAATAAGAGTCTAGCATGGTTAATCACATGCATAATCCCAGCACTTGGGAACCTGAGGCAGGAGGATCGGAAGTTTGAGGATAGCCTGGCCTATATAGTGAGATTCAATAACAACAACAAAAAAATAAAGCTATCATGTGACCCAATAATCCCACTACATCTATAAAGGAAATGAAACCAATATGTCCAAGCAACATCTACACTTCCTTGATTACATCACCAGCTATTCATAAAAGCCAACACATGGTAACAAACTAAATGCCCATTAAATGATGAATGGGTGAAGAATGTTTACATATATGTAGCAGAATTCTATTTAGCTACTAAAAATGACATTGTAGCATTTGCAACATCATAGATGGAACTAGAGGTTATATGATAAGTGAAGTAAGTAAGACACAGAAATGATGCTAACCCTAAATCAAACCTGAAACCATCGATCTCTCGGAAGTTGTGAGCAGAATGATGACTACAGAGGCTGGGGAAGGTGGAGAGGAGTGGGCTGGGGAGGGTGGAGAAGAGGGGTCCGGGGAGGGTAGAGAGGAGGGGACCGGGGAGGGTGGAGAGGAGGGGGCCGGGGGAAGGTGGAGAGGAGGGGGCTGGGGAAGGTGGAGAGAAGGGGCTGGGGAAGGTGGAGAGGAGGGGGCTGGGGAGGGTGGAGAAGAGGGGTCCGGGGAGGGTAGAGAGGAGGGGGCCGGGGAGGGTAGAGAGGAGGGGTCCGGGGAGGGTGGAGAGGAGGGGGCCGGGGAGGGTGGAGAGGAGGGGTCCGGGGAGGGTGGAGAGGAGGGGGCTGGGGAAGGTGGAGAGGAGTGGGCTGGGGAGGATGGAAAGGAGGGTTCTGGGGAGGGTGGAGAGGAGGGGGCCGGGGAAGGTGGAGAGGAGGGGGCCGGGGAGGGTGGAGAGGAGGGGGCCGGGGAGGGTGGAGAGGAGGGGTCCGGGGAGGGTGGAGAGGAGGGGTCCGGGGAGGGTGGAGAGGAGGGGGCCGGGGAGGGTGGAGAGGAGGGGGCCGGGGAGGGTGGAGAGGAGGGGGCCGGGGATGGTGGAGAGGAGGGGGGCCGGGGAGGGTGGAGAGGAGGGGGCCGGGGAAGGTGGAGAGGAGGGGGCCGGGGAAGGGTGGAGAGGAGGGGGCTGGGGAAGGTGGAG